CATACTGATTTTTCCTTTTCAGATGAGATTATAACATGACAAAAGCATTGTCTGCTCGACGAACGCATTAAAATTTGATTGCACTATGTTCTCGAAGAAAAGCCCGAGTAAAACATAGTGAAATCACAGACAGTTCGAAACGAAATGAACGAAAAAAATGAAACGAAAATCGAAATATAGCTAGCAGCGTTTTAATCATAACTTTTTGAGGATAGATTTTCTAGAGTCCCAAGAGATCTCAAAATGCAGAAAAGAGTTGAAAATTTAATTTAAGACGTGTCCGAGCTGTCTACGATTTTTCGTTGCGAAGATTTTATAGGGACTCCCGTCACGGGATCCTGCCGGGACTCTCGCGGGACATTTTTCAATTTTGTTTAGATTTTTCGGGATTTTACTGGGACTCCCGCGGGAGTTTATCAAAAAGCCCTGCGGAACTCCCGACGAGACCCCGTGACGGGAGTTCCGTGGGACTCTCGCGGGACTTTGGCCGAGAGTCTCGACTAGGGGTATTATACCAATCGTGTACGTGTTTTCCTCTTCCCTAAAAAATGTGTCAGGTTCTGCAGCAATTTTCTGAAGAATTAAAAGTACTGTGTGAAAAGTTGAAAAGCGAATACAGAGTCCTGCGGTTGCATTGGGAATGTCCCATTTTGAGACTTTCTGAGCGTATTGTCCCTTTTCTAGAGCATCCGAAAGTAGGTCAATTAAAAGTTTGAGACTTTGAAATTTTTCAGCAAAACGATAATTGATCTGAGTATACACATGTGATGTTCATTGTAGTGCAATGCTACTTTCACAGCTGATCTCAAATGAAGTATTATTCACTTCATTATCTATATATGCGATTGCTATTATGAATGAGTCATCAGTATAGTACAACCTTTATAATATAAAGGTTGTACTATACTAATGATTGTTGTACTACAATGCAGTCTTGCATATAAAAATAAAGTTTATATGCACGACTGCATTGTAAATATGCAGTAAAAATTGTGTTGCAGATATTTCGCTTAGCACCGCTTTAGCAAGTCTCATACAGCGTGATTGTCATCTAGTTAATCTATAGTGTTTAAAGAACATAATTAATTACTGTGAATCAGAGATGGGCGGATCGCATTTTTCTATGACTCGGACTCGAACTTGAGACGACTCGATACACTTGATAAACTGATCCGAGTGTCACTTTCTAGTCACTCATGTGCAACTTGGGATTGTTATGATGGTGTTTATCATATTTGTTATATACCAGAAGAGTGAGAGATTTGAGAATATTCTAAGTAGAACATTGTGTCACATGAGAAGATTGAAGCCCAGTAAGCGGAAAAAACTTCATAATATATACTTCGTAGTATCCTATCCAAACCGGGAAGATTTGAAAGCATATTACCGGAACAAAAGAATAAAGTTGGTTTTGAGTTGTTGAAAAGTGCTTTTTCGTATTCAACACACTCGATAACCCAAAAGATTTTCTATTTTTGGCGAGGGATACTGACAAAAGTTTAGGAAAAATTTTGAAACAAAATGACACAAAAATATTTCCATGGGAAAATGATATTAGGTTGAAAATTGTTCCGAAACTTTTGGAAGTATCCCTCGCCAAAAATAGAAAATCTTTTGGGGTATCGAGTGTACTGAATACGAAAAAGCACTTTTCAACACCTCAAAACCAACTTTATTTTTTTTTCCGGTGATATGAAAATCTAAGTGAAGGGTTAAAAATAAGGATTGAACGTTTTTCTTAAGATGATCCTCATAGAATTCTAAATATGATCAATCTATAATTTTCTTTGTTATTCGATAGTTAAAACTTTCTCAAAAGAACGGAGAAACATCTTTAGTGGACAAATGTTGTGCTCAACGGTCTATATTTCTAAAAATGCTCTAATTGCCCTACTGGGTTTTTTATTAATTGTGGTTTGCACCTTTTTTGCTGTTTTCTACATCTGTGTGTTAATATTATATATTGCTTTGTACCTTACCAGCACTGTTCAAGGTAATTAGATTACGCCTGTGCGTCGTATGACAATAATTTTGCTAATTTGGAAAGTCAACTTGAATCAGTTCACACGATCACACGTGATTTTCACACACACGGAAAAGCCCTTGTCGAAAAACTAAAATTACCTTTACTCTCCGTGCGACGGAAGTACTTCCGACCAGTGTATTTTTTTAAGTCCTGAACGGCTTATCACCCTTATCTCACTTCAATCTTATACAGTTTGATGTGAGTAGAAGATCCGATCGTCTAGTACAGCATAACAGACAAGTTTTTATCTCATTTGCGCGCACAGAAACTGTTCTACAATCTTTTTTTGTATAGGACAGCTCGCGATTGGAACTCTCGCCCCAACACTGTAGTTATCTCACCATCAATAAAATCTTTCAAAATCAAACTGAGGCAGCACCTACAACTGTAAAAGGGGAAAAAAAATAGGATAAAAAGGTGGCAATTTTTATAGGTGTTTAAAACCTTTTTTTTGCTTTCCCGACAACATGTTTATGTGTAGATTAAATTTTTGTATTGTAAAACCAAAGTTTACTCTTTTCTGTACAAAACTGCTGTTGTCCAAATAAAAATCAATCAATCAATTAATCAATCAATAATTTTTTGCGGTTTAATGTTTAAACCACGCTACCGATAGCAGAATAGATACGGAAAATGTGGCTAATTAACTAGTAGATGCTCATATACAGGAGATAGTTACAGGCAACAATAAGAGTGAGCTTTTCTAGGATGCTTCTAAATAGGAAACACCACCATAAATCTCTTGCAAGAACATTTCACAATGATGAAGGTCTTACAATTGTAGTTTGTTCAACCGCTTACAACATTTCATCGTTTACTGCGTGCGTCGTTTCGACGTGATTACGGTACAACCTTACAATGTCATGAATGGAGCCAATCATTGGCTTACTTACGCTAGAGTCCGTAGCGGAATGTACGATATCTAATGATCACTTCTTATCAGCAGTTGTTTTGGGTTGCGTCAGCCACTTTCGTCACTAAATCTTTCGTTATCCTTTTAACAAATAGATAAATAAATGCCTGATAACACGAATTCATTAAGAGTTAACTAATGACAGCGGTGATGAGGAGTACCATATCTAATTTCTGTTTCATGTGAAAGTGAACAAAGTAAGCAAACAGCAGAACATATACAGTATACAGACAAGTATAGACTTTGACAAATGGTTTATTCTAACAATCTGTCGGCTGTCTTTTCGAAGGTATAATTTTAAGGTGCTATTTTCTTGTTGATATAACAGACTTGTATATTGTATAAATCGCTTCGTGTACGTTTTGTAAATAGTAGAGCGTGTTCCTCACTGCTCGTACATGCTACAGTTGCTTCTATGAAGTACGAAACATTCTCAGCAGAATTACAGTCATGTATCACAGAAATAACTTCACATCGTTGATAAAGATTTAGAATACCTTTTTCTAAATTCTGTATGATCAGATTTTATTGAAACTTCAGAGCGCTGAAAATAAGAAGCATAGCATAAGTCACGTTCAAAAACATTCCTACAATTCGTCTTTTTTATACTGTGCAATAATAGCAATGTTTTTCATGAATGTGACTCTTTACCATTTTTTAATTGATGAATGAATGAGCAATTATTTCTTCATTATTTTAATTCCTTATTAAACTCAATTATATATTTCTCATATCTATTCATCAATCTTGATAACGTTTTATCTATCTGACGATCAATGCCATATGCTCTTTTTACAGTTTAATTGATTATGCAAGTGTGCCTGAAAGCAAGAGTACATAAATAATTGGCTAACTACTAACGGCATGTAATCAGATATACACGGCTACTTCTTAATTAAGACTACTATTTTTTGCACTCATTCTCACTTTGCTTCCCACTCTCTGATGTTTGTTCGATGTCAATTAAGATGAGACCACGTTTTATCAAAAAAGTGGTCTCAGTTTAGCAGACTCGATATACATATACATACACAAACAACAAAGAAAGACGCAACTGATCTTATATTCTACTGATAGATGGGACAGAAGATTTGTTTTTTTTTAAAAATTTTATCACATTGTATAAACAGACAACAACAAAATACATATAATAATAAGGATACAACCTTGATTCCAACACTTTAGATATCTACTGAAGCGTTTTCGTTCTATAACGCACATACCAATGAAATTAATGGTTTACATAATCGTCATAGTTCAATAGTTAACAATACGAAGAAATGAATTCTTTTTTTCTTTTCATCAACATCTTTTGATTAAGATCTGACGGTAGTGTTCATACTCAATGAGTCAGTTACTCGCTTGTTTTCTTATCTGAATAGTTTTCATTCTCATGAGCGATTGTGTTCAGTACCCATTTTTTTGCTCACACTTTTCATCTCTTAAACTTTTTCAAATTAAATACTACCATGTCCACACGTAGAAAAGAAGAGGAAAACAGATCAATACAAGCATATCCGTTCGATTCTAATAAAAAATTTGTAGCATCATCATCGATTGGAGGAGAAACATCTAAGAGTCAATATTCATCGGAATATCAAGATTTGTCCAGCATGTATACAAATGCTGGCAATAGTAATAGTGACTATAATATGGCTTATTCAACGAGCGGATACGAAGGTGACTATAACATGACATTTTCATTGTCAGCAGTTAGAACAAAAGGAATCGGTCAAGGAATAACTAATAGGAACGTTAACAACAGTAAAGATTTACAATATTATTTGACAACACGTGTTCAAGGTAGTTCTTCCGAATATGATTATGCATCGTATCAATCAGAAGGTGACTATTTTGAAAATATCTCTTGTCAAACAGAAGGATGAAGGTGTATCCAGGAATCATCCTTTCGGCAAAGAATCACTAGCCACCAGGTCTTCTGGTATTGGCACTATAACACTCACAAATTGTCGCAATCAATATCAGACCCGGGTTTAACATCAGCCGTCGATTGATTTCAACAGTATACTACATCGTACAATCAGTTTGATGGTAGCACTCAGCAGAATCGAACTAGAAGGCAATATCGAATGAGATTATGCAACAACAATTCGAACACGAAATCTCTGCAATGATCCAAATCCACAATTGATTCGTAAACAACAAGCATCTGAACCAATAATATACAAACAAAATATCATGATTCGATTTTTTCAGCAAATCACTAATTCTGCTCCCAGGACCATTGATCATTCGTGAGGTTAGATAAGAAAAGTATGAGCTTTTCTATACCTGAACATTCCACAATTATTAAATAATTTTATTTCAGACCACCTCAGGCACCTCCACCGCTACCCGTTGTATGTTTCCTTTTTCATCGATGTTTTTTTCGAATCTTGTTTTGTTTTGTTTATGTATTGTTATCTATCGTATTAACACGATCTTTTTAATGCCAATTGATGTTGTTACATAGGGCAACGATCACTCCATCTGAATCACCGTCATCATTAATTTTAAAAGAACATCCTTCATCGGTTCCAGCTGCAATGACTGGTAATTTTGCAAATTGTAGTAGAAGCAGCAAAGGCTTATCCAGAACTGCATATCATTACGTAAGTTACTCACTAAGTCTCGAGATATCCACAAACTCAATCTCGTGTTATTAAGATATAAAAATATGCAAACTTGTTCGTGAATTTCAAAAATTAGGAATTACACTGGAAAATTCAAAAGCGTACATTGATAAATATAGTGATTCATTACTAGACCCACAACAGCTAGTAGTTGGAGCAAGACGATATGGAGTTGTCGAAGATATTGTGAGTATTAAAAGAAGTGTAAAATCTGCTCAATATACAAAAGGGTTGTTTTTTAGTCTCCACCAGTCGGATTTGCACGTTTATAAGGGCGTAGCTTAGAATTTGAAGAATCTGATCAGTATACTGATAATTCAGTATCATTCAATCATGCATCAAATGATATTATTGGTTACGATTCGAATTTTGGCGAAATGACCAATTTTGCAACATCTGCTAGAAAGTAGCAATCTAAGTCACCTCCGGGTACAATTAGGGCAATTACTTGTTCTACCTTGGTAGTGATCAACATTTTTCACCAATAAATTATGGTAATGGTGAAAAGAGTACCACCTCACGGAATTCCGGCGGTTACATCTCATCTGGTCACGCTTCTGGTACAGACGAGTTTTATGTCGGAGGTAACGACAGTAATATAGTTGTTAAAGATCCAACCCTTTATCAACATTCAATGTTTTTCTGTTCTAGTTGACGGTGGCAGTGAAGGCTATTTCGAAGAATTAAAGCGTTATAGTTTCAGTAAGTCTGGTACTACGCCTCAAAACATCTGAATTTATCAGCAAGATATGTCTGATCATGAACAAAATATAGGTTTATATTTAATGATTATAAATGCGATGAAGATCTATTATCACGGTTAATCCCCTTTGGAAATGTCGTCTATCTAAGACGCTTTTGTTATAGTTCTTGATTATCCTGTAATTTTTGAATTGACAAATAACATCACTTAAAATTTGACTAACAGAATCTGGATAGATTTGGTTGATGCATGTGCCGGTTGTAATGGTTCAAGTAGGAATTTGCATGCTGATAAATGCAATGTATATTTTCATTTTATAAAAAAATGTTTGCTCTACAAAACTTAGTTGTTCAAAAAATGTTAATGTGTACTTTGTATGTCATGTGCTTGAAAACAAATTACTTGTTATAACTGATGCATGCCTAATTTGGTTCTATCTCCGAATACAATAGAGAGATAATAATACTAGGAAGAATTCAGGCATATGAAACTGAAATCTTTTCAATAAACAAGCTGACTAACTATTTCTGTCAATTTAAAAAATCCAACTGCAAACAGCTCTAAACTCGGTTTTACCACAGTTTCCTTCGTAAGTGCTGAGTCAAATTGCGCAAAAATTTTTGCAGCTATAGTTGAGATTGCCGTGGAAATGCAAATAGAAAGTTACAGAGGACTCGTTAGGCAGAAAATCTCATCCGTTTAGGCTTACTTTATATAATCTAGAATCGGTCAATATAAACATGGCAGGCTCACGTCTGCCAGTCATCTCTATACTCTCGTTTATTTTCAAGAATATTTCAATAAAGCCCCTTCTTTCTGACGTAAAACTAGAGTTAATAGAAACATCAGGAGACAGAGCATGCTTGTCAGCATGTAAACAACTTGCGACCAAAATACTAAATGATCAATTTTTCTTAAATTGTCTGTCAGTGCACAGGTGCGTACTCAAAACTTATCAGATTGACGCTTATTTTTCTAAATTTTAAAAAACTTAAACAAATCCACTGATACTGTATTCTCTGAGTGTTGATTACACTCTTTACAAACTAAAAAAAGAACTAAAATAGATTAATGCTCTATTCAAACGCCATTTTAAGAATTTGTTCACATTCTTGCAGATGAATTTCATTAATGGCTACGGCTGGTGTCCCGAGTACTTGTCGACCAGCATATTTTAACTAAAAGGTCAAGAAATTAATCAGTCAAAATGATGGAGCCATATATAGTCGGAATACATACCTTGACCCCTAAAATATTTTCAAATCGTGCACTTATAAATGTCCATAATCCTTGATTTCGATGTTCTTCTTGACACCATATGAATTGAGTGGCATTTTTATATTTTTTTATTTCTTGACGTAAGTCAGCAGCCGGAAATGGACAAATTTCTTCCAGACGTACAATAGCAATATTATCTTGACGCTTTAATTTCAAACGTGCATCACAAAGAGTATAATAATGTTTACCAGAAACAAATAGTACACGGTTTACTTTATCAGCTGCTACCTAGCGAACAAGTGTCAAACGAATTAATCATCGATAGAGAGTAGAATATCAACTCATACTTGATTATCTCCGAGTACGCGTTGAAAACTTGTTCCCTCGTCCATCTCTTTCAGTGATGAAATACACTCAGGATGTCGTAGGAGAAGTTTTGGTGCAGCAACAATTAACGGTTTACGATAATTTCGAATCATCTAAAGCAAAAAAATACACATCATTGATTTCTAGTAAATAAAGAAAAGAAAAGATGATTCACTTGTCGCCTTAAAAGATGAAAATATTGTGCAGGTGTTGTTGGATTAACAATTTGCATATTAACATCATCACCATCGATTCCATCTTCTTTACTATCGGTTATCTAAATGAAGCCAAGCTCTTTCATCTTTTTAATGTTATAGCATAAACTTGTCTATTATCCTGAATCTTTTCCAGTATGTCAATAAAACACATATTCCTTAGACTCTAACTATACCTGTAAAAATCTTTCTAAATGACAGCTTGAATGGTCGGGTCCAGCACCATCCATACCGTGCGGCAATAACATCGTCAGACCTGACTGTGTCAGAAACTTTACTAAAAATTAGATAACAAAACATATAGATCATATTATTATAGCGACGATATCAACGTACATTCACCCGAACTAATATAAGTATCAATAATGATTTGTGCACCATTGTAGAAGTCTCCAAATTGCGCTTCCCAAATGACTAAATTATTCGGATTATCAATACTAAATCCATAATCGAAGCCAAGTACAGCTTCCTCGGATAATATACTATTACAAACCTTAGCAAAAAAAAAAAATAATATATATATTGCTTCATAGATAATTCTAAACAAAGAAAAATTTACTTCAAGAAAACCAGTTTGTTTCTCATATAAAGAATTCAATGGTACATAAACATCATCATTTTGTTGATTAACCAACATACAATGACGCTGAGAAAATGTTCCACGACCAACATCTTGTCCTGATATTCGAATATTATAACCCTGAAGTAACAATGATCCAAATGCTAAAGCCTCACATGTTGACCAATCAAGCCCAATTTCAGTGTCAATTCGTTGTTTACGTTTCAAAACATGAGCACGTTCAATTGTTGGATGAATTTGCTATAAAAGCAAAGTGAAATTGTTATAAAAGTTGGATGTCCGTGATTCGAGAATATATATTATCAGATTAACTTTCTTAGATAAAGTTTCAAATCTGATAAAATTGTGATCAAATACTTGCAAATTTATCAGGTATTGTGATTGATTTAATGCCAATATACTTTAATAACGATAAATTAAAACCCGTATTCCATTGAGTACAATTTGGTTTTGCTTGAATGAAACCAGACCATTGACGTTCCAAATGAGGTGCCTATAGACAATCATTCATCATGACAACAAATTAAATAAAAACCGTATTTTTGCTATTTACCTTTGGTTGATAGGTATCAGCTTGTGCATATTGTTCTTCAAGCATATCACGAAATGTTTTTATTTTTTTATCCATAGTGCCTTTTTTAACAATAGTCGAATCCTAAAAGATCTCTATATTATTTAATTATATAAAACAATACATCGTATGCCACACGTACAATAAGTGATTGTAAATAATGACTAGCTGGTGACATGGTTGCTTCGTTAATCTTTTTGTACATGCTTGGATTTGTAAATGTTGGATCATCCAATTCATTATGTCCCCATCGACGATAACAGACCATATCAATTATAATATCTTTACGAAACAATGAACGATATTCATAAGCTAATTGAGTAGCTTGAACAATTTCCTATAAAAATCGTACAGACACCTCTGCTATAAGACTATTTTCTAGTAGAAAAAAAAGTTCTGACCTCTGGTCGATGTCCATTCACATGAATCACTGGACAATTAACAATCTTTCCAAAATCTGTACAATAACGAGACGACCTAAACAATACAGAATACACTTGAATAAGGTGAAACACTTTTCATTCCTATAAAAGATAGGTCGATCTCATTTTATAACAAAATTTTGTATTACGAAGAAATAAAAATGACTTTACCTTGCCAAATTCTGTGGTGTTGTATAGCCAATTTGATTGTTTGTAACTAAATGGATACTACCACCAACAGAATAATTTGGTAAATGGCTTAATTGAAATGTTTCTGGTATAATACCCTTTTAAAGAGAAACACTAATTATTAGAGAATGATCATATTCTGTTTAATTATTATGTATTTTTACTTGTCCAGCAAATGATGCATCACCATGTACTTGTATACATAATACTTTATCACCATGTCTTGTTTCATCGTTCTTATCATTTGAACTATAATGTCCATCTTTTAACGATAATTGTTTTGAACGAGCTTTTCCTACAGCTACAGGATTATTTGCCTATTGTAGAAAAAGCAATTTGAAGTAATCATTCCAGTGTTTCACACATCATCTTACTTCCAAATGTGATGGATTTGGTATTAGTGATACGTGTACATTTTTTCCATTGTAATCAAGATCAGTGGATGTGTACAGATGAGATAAAACATCACCAGTTGATTTGACATCAGCGGGAAATTCACGTTTACCTTTAATCTATAAAAACGTATTGTAATCAAATTTCATATCAGCGGAACAAAAAACATAAAGTTGATTTAGAATTGCTGAAAAAATCTTGAAACAAAACGACGCAAAATATTTCCATGGGAAAATGATATTAGTTTTGAAAATTTTCCTAAACTTTTGGTTAGTACCCCTAGTCCAAAATAGAAAATCTTCTGGGTTATCGAGTGTGCTGGATAACACTTTTCAGCAACTCAAACCCAACTTTATTTTTTTTGTTTGGGTGATCTGCAACTAAATATATCAGCATTTCTCGCAAACTATACCTTTCTAAACATGACGGCAGCTGGGTAATTCAACATACAAACAAGAAGATTATTTCGACCACGATGAGGCATACACACAACAACATTTTCGACACCAGCTAAATACAGGGAGAGGCAGATGGCATTTGATTCTAACGACATCTATCACCGTACATTGGGCTGATTTATCAAAACATAAATCGAAAAATGCCATCATTCCTTCGGCACCTTCACCACTATACCGTTTCAGTGTGGTAAATTTAGCACCCAAAAACTGATCAAATACCTAAATATATTCAAAAGAGGTATAAATAAACTAACTATATAAGATCAACAGGAGAATTGTGCACCGATCGAATATGTGATCTTAGATTTACCGTAAACTTCACAAATGAATTTAATGTTCTCAGAAGAAATATTCATGGTCTAAAGATTTTCGATCAGAATCGGGCTCGGTCTTTTTGAATAAAACACAAAATCGCGCTTTGCTCAATATTTTCATTGCCAAAATGGTGTATAATGTGTTTCTATAATAAAAGTCTAAAACTCGACTTTTGTTGGTTATTCTCGTTTATTTCGACGGTTATAGGTACTAGACAGACAGATTCAGTCAGTCATACATATGAAAAACAAACATAAAAACGAAAGGACGACCATACAAATATAGTACTGGTGGTGGTACCCAGTAACAGGTGAGCAAACAAATTTTAGAATAAAAATTTAAATAGCAGGGAGAATGCTCTTTTTCCTGCCATTTTTTTGAATAAATAAAAAGGCATAAAAGTACTATTATACTGCCTAGTTGTTCCTGTTACAGGAAACAGACTACTTTTCCTGTTATCTTACTGACGAGAAATCTCTCGATTCAATCTAGTTCAGCTAAAAACATTTTTATATTAAGCTTCCATCCAATCTGACTACTCTTCAAAAATATGCTAGTTTATCTAGGTTTGTGTAAATTTTTAGTTTCTAATCTATATTATGTACAACAATGGATATCAGGTTCTATATATTAAATTTTGACACTGATTTTGTACATATTTCATAATGTTTTTTTTTTATGAACGGCAATGTTTGTGTTAAAAACACAAATCCTTCCAGTCTAAAAGTTCTATTTTTCTGACTGTTATTAGCATATAGAGTTCATTTATAATTCTATATACATACACCATTCATATAGACAATACATGAAATAATTTCTCATGAGAATTAATAATATATGCTTTTCTTTTTAATCTTTATGAAACAAACGATGAATGATGCAATCTATCATAACATGTTCAATTCAATCTCAAATACGACTCAACACACATTTGCATAAATATATTATGAATCACAATAATTAACAAAAATTAATTTAGTTTGTGATTTATTAGAAAATATATATATATATAAAAGCGAACAAATTTGATAAAATAGATTCCTTATAAATTCGGTTTTTTTTTGTGTAGATACTATTGATTTCTAGTTAACATAAAATTAGATGGCAGATGTTTTTATTGTACAGTTTCATCTCTCTTTTTTTTTAATGATATATTATTATTATTATCACATATTGAGATAAATATTTTTGTTTGTTCTTAGTGTCTTTTATTAAAGATTATGTTCACATGTTGCTTTCTCTCTTGTCTATTTCACCTGCTTTCGTTTGTCCTTGAATAATAACAATAATGTACGTGTGTGACAGTATTCATATGACAAAAAAGCCACACCCCTCTCAGTCTCTCTCTCTCTCTCTCTCATTTATTAAACAGTTGAGCAGAACAATTTTAAATACACTATGTGATCCATCTGTTTAGAAGCAACAATATAGAGATGATTTGCATAAGAAGAGAAAATATTTATTCATCGACAATAAAACATCAAACAACTAATATAACAGAATTGTCTGTAACATAGAATAATTATTTTTATTTTATCAATTAGTCAACCATAACATTGTCAGATGTGAAATATGATATCAAATAAGCGTTCGAACACAAACATTCATTCGATACAAACTCTATGACAATTACTAATGATTAACAAACAGAATTTGTTTTCCGAAATAGGCTTCTTTTTTTTATTTTTTTATTTTACCTCACATTTTAACATATGTTCAGCAATTCGTTGTTGAAGAGTTGGTTCTAATTTTAATGTTCGTAATTCTTCAAATCTTCTTGCTAACCATAAACGTTCAATATCGCTCTAAATAGATCATAACATAATCTATAATCAAGTGATATTCTAAATAATTTTACTTCGATATATTCTAATTCAATACTAATTTTATCACAATAACGTTTTTGAAGTAATTGAATCCATTCTTGTTTATTCGATGGAAGTTTATCTTCTTCATCACTAATTGTTAAACCAATTAAATTTTTTACATCTTCTGAATTATTAATAGTAAACTGTGGAAATATATTATCATCGAGTTCGGGAATTGTACTAAATTATACCAAATATTACTAATTCAGATAAAATTTTGTTTTTTAATCTTTAATAAGAAAACAATATACCTTTTTACTGCTAATTCTAATGGGTCAGTTTTGGCTAATTGATGTCCATGTTTTCGATAGGCATCAATCAATAATGACACACTTGGATTTGAACAACGAGATTTATTGTAACGAGCTAGAATACAATAAATACTAGTAGAAATGAATGAATTAGATTCAAAAATTCATTTTCTCTAACTTAAATTAGTTTGAATTTCTTCAATATTTGATGGTGTATTTTTTAAATTTGGATTATAACCAAATATTTTTGTTTGATGTTTATAGGAACGATAAATATTTTTATGTAATGGATTGATTCGAAATAACAATTGAAAATATTTCATCTAAAATATAAAACTAGATAGAGAAGTACGTCCCACTAGTCGTATGACAACTCCCATGAATTATATTTCATTTCAAAATTCGTATTTTCAGTAATGTGATCTTATCGATACATCGTTTCACAGATGTGTGTATACGAAAGATACTGAGAAACATGATTGATTATATATATAACTGTCAAAATTGATCTACATTTATTTTTTCTTGTGAGAAGATATAAAACAATTTGTTTCCTAAAAGGCAAGTTAAAGTTCCATTTCAATTGTATTTTATTCTTTCTTGTACTATATGTAGAAAAGTAGTTAAGTAGGTAAGTCTTTCAAACATATGAAAGTGACACAAAGAATAACAAATCTGTTTCAAAATATTTGATAAGATGAAATATATGTCAGATGAAAAAAAAAAATGATGTTGAACAATTTCCTGTAATATAACAAAACAACTGAAAGTTTTTTTTTTAAATAATTTATTTAAAAGATTTAATATTTCTTTTTAAATTTTAAAATTTTAAAAAATTTTTTTTTAAAAATTTTATTTTTTATTTTTTTTTTTTTAATAATTTTTTTTTTTTTTTTTTTGTTTTTTTTTTTTTTTTAAATAAAAAAAAAAAAAAAAAAAAATCTTTCAAATTACTGTTCTGTTATGTGTGGATAGCAAATGAGAAAAACCATCATTGTTTTACTTGACAGGTTGAAGTAAATCGTATATGTTTCTGCATTTTTTCTCATATACTAAATGAGTATATGCATTTTTTTTTTGTTATTCTTCGATATAATATGGAATCCTGTTTAGCAACATCGAGACAAGTACAATCTTCGTATATTGAACGCATTCATTTTTATCATTTGTACATTGAAAGTCTTTTAAATAACAATGCTTGACAGAGTAATAATTCAACCAAATAAGAAAGCTCATTAGTCTTTGAATGAATCAAGAATATATTATTTTTCTCAAATTTCAATTTTTATCTTATCCCTAGTTTTTAATTTAATTTTCTTTTTTTCTTTTCTTTCTCTGTATAGTAAGGTATCTAACTGTCTGGGATATTAATCAGCCATCTGTGATGACAAAAAAGAAATTTTTTTCTTCTTCTTCTAATAATAATAATTGATGATTTGTAATCAGTCACCCACATAGATACGGTTGTTTTTTTTCATTTCCGACACGTGCATAGTTTTTTTATCAATAGAATTAGCCTTCTAGCATAGAACGAGAATAATACGGTAGTTGACGAAATTCAATATGCTTCTTCTAAAAGCAAGCATAATTCTCATACCTCATTAAACAACACTTTTAATTAAAAAATAAGAAAAAATGTCTAGTACAAGTAAAGAAAGAAGAGTATAGAAAGAATTTCTAAATTTTTCTTGTTATGATCATCATTTCATCTTAAGTCGTTAAACGAAATTCCATTAAACTGAGTGCTAACTATCGAATGTTTAAAATGTTATTTATCCATTTTTTTATTTCTTTTTTTTCTCTTCAATATTTTCTTTTTGTCTAATGTCCTAAAGCAAATGAAATTTTTCTTTTTCTGTGTTTTCTTTTTTTTGCTTCTTTTATTTTCTGACCGTTCATTATTCGATTAATCCTTCTATTAAGTTAAACAGACATTTAACGGAACTCAATGACAACGAACGAACGTCGGATAATCAAAGTTATTCGATAGTTAAGTTGGACATTGTCCACATATATATAGTTCTTATCTGGAATGTGAAATATGAAACTTAGTCTAGAAAAAGAAGTATTTCACTTCCGGCTAATACAATTGAACACACACACACACAAAGAACGAAAGAAACCGATTTTACATCATGCAATTTTTTCTTTCTTTCTCTTCTTTATTTTTATTCATTACATTAGAACAAAAAAAAAAAAAAAACAAAAAAAAACCCCCCAGAAACACACTTGTATACAGTAGACTGACCGACACAAAAAAAAATTAATAAAAAATACTATCTTTCATCTATTAAATATTATTTTTTCATAAATTTTATCTCAGATGTACGTTTTTTAAGAAGTTGAACAATTGTGAAAATAAACATCTTGAATGAACAATCATTATTTTTCATTATAAGATTATAATTCTTTCTTAATATTTTGCTATATTTGAATAAGAATTCATAGTTTTTATTTAAATAAGAAAAAAAAAAGAGAAAGAAATAAAACAACAGAAAAAAAAAATACAAGAAACTCAAAATCTAAATTAGAATATTCTTTTTCTTTTTTATTTAGTCTTATGCGTATTTCTTTTTTGCTTCTAGATATTTGGAATGCGAAAACATTTTCTCTTATTAGACAATAATCTAAGAACAAACAAAGTGCATAAGTAAAAGATAAATCTTAAAAAATAAATTCAATTTCTCTTACTATTAAATGAGATGTTAACTATTCTCTCTCATATATAATTTTCACAAAATATGGCACATAATATTAATAATAATATATCGCATCACCTTTTTACACTTACAAATGACTATAGATACAGTAATTAAATTTCATTTTAATTATTATAATCTCTTTGTAAGAAATAATTAACAGATTAAACTTCTCAGGAGACTTTTTTTTCTTGTTTTTTTTCTTCTTTGCTCTTCAAGAAATAAGTTAGAAATCCTTTGATCTTGGAGAAGAAGAAAAAACATTATTTATGAAGGATATACATCAGTTATGTAAATTTCTCGTATTTCATACACATACATATTTCAATTATACAATGAAGTAAGAAAGAAGACTGACAACAACAAAAACATTGACCATCCAATAATTACAAAACAACAAACACTGTTCAACATTTAAAAATCTATAAAAATGAAATAAAAACCAGGAAAAAACGAGCGAAAAGAATAATAATGATAATAAGAATAGAATATTACCTTTCATGAATAATACGATAAAAAATATAAAAAATAATTAGTATTGTAGCAGGTACTATTTATTGAAATCAATATAACACCTGAGAGTAGTTTGATTTTGTTGACACAAACAAATCAAACTATAGAGGTTCTTAATGACCCGATTAGTTCTGTCTATGTTCTTAATTTAACATGACTGTTACCAGTTAAATATTATGCGACACGGAGTACGACTAGAGAAGAAGAAGAAGAAGAAGAAGAAAACAACGAACGAGAAATAATATTTATTTTCTAGACAAATATTTTAAAGAATAATAGAAGTGATCCTAGCAAACATAAATAATTTAATCTTGCTAATAATAAATGTCCATTGTTTCCAAATTGTTTATTTGCTGCTTCTTTTTCCGTGGCTACAATGGTAATGATTTTTGTTAAATTATTAGGATTTAATCTAACAAGAAATCCTTGATTAATTAATTTTTGAAAATAATTTTTATTACTATCCACTTCATTAGGATCGGCTACTGCTTTAAAACCATTTTTAACTTCGGCTAATTTTTGACGATCAAATTTAACAATAGATTTGTAAACACCAAATGGTTCTGACTCCTCTTTGATACTAATACCACCTTTATTATAATCATCAATCAATTTTTCATTATTGGCTTTATACCATTCAATTTGAGGTTTGGGATTTCCAGTGTATGAACATTCAATTTTTGGTTCGGTATTTGTTTCATCATTCTTCTCATGGTCAATATGTTGTTTTTCATGACACACTGAAAATCGAGGACTAAACAAAACACTCAACTTCTTTTCATTTCTTCTGGTCTGTTCGCCTAAAAAAAACAAAAAAAAAAACAATGATAAGTCAAACAATTCTGATACTGTGAACTTTCATCGAAAAGAAATGTTATTGAAAAATACTTTATCGAAATATTTTATAATATGGTTAAGAAGCTTAAATACGGATAAAATTTAGTAGATAGCAGAGCCATGAGAGTACATTGGAAAACCATGAATCAAGGGTCAAAAAGTATTTTCGATGAAAGTTCAGTAAATCAACAATTTTTATACTAAAAAAGGTAAGTATAACAAACAAATATATCCATTTTACATATGTGGACTGAAAATGATGAGAATTGTGAATGTAGTCGTGCACATCTATTCATCCGATGATCATCATGATAGCTTTTGCTTTCTCAAATTGCCAGCTCAATAATGAGTCAACAAGAGATGATAAGTGTCTTACCTTGTTTAACAATACATTGAAATGTATGTTCATGCCAATCAGCCTGAACAGGTATAGATGCATTCCATTTTAAATTATGTCCAAAAACATTTTTTGAATCATTGACAATTTGCATTTCACCTTTATCTTTCATTGTATGATGATGGATAAGTATCTCAAGACTTGTAAAAGGATAAAATTCATCGACTTGACATCGAAGTGTGGCTTTATCTCCTTCGACTAATTGATTGGGCGTAACAGATAATATTGGGTCAACATATTTTGTAACGAAAAATTCTTTACGATCTTTTGTCGGTGGTATTGCACAATCAGGACATTCACATTCATAGGCGGCTCTATCAATAAGTTGTGCTTTTATAATTTTTATTCGATTTTTACCTTCATATTTATATCGTTCACGATCTTGATTATTTAAAAATAAATCTGGTATATCTTGTTTCTCACCCTTACCATTGAGTAATGCACGCGTTACGGCTGTTCGTTTTTTTGTACGTGGATCAACGTAATACAAAACAGGTTTATCCTCGCTGTCTGCTGGATCTCGTAATTCACACGAAATAGATATTTCACTATCACGATCAATATATTTATTATCAGGTGATATTGTTAGTTTTAACGATGGTGCAGCGTATGTACGATGAATTAAAAAAAATAAAAATGTCAGTAGAAAATAACAAGACGAATAAATTATTGAACAATGATACATGATCGAATTGATTTTCCTAGAAATCAAAAAATAATTCATTATTCTTATAGAAAAAAGAAAACCAAGTAGATTTCATTTCTAATTTTACCAGTCTCAAATCTTATAAGAATTTAACAATGATTATATGTAAGTTATGGTTACATTGAATGTAATCTAATCTTAAATTATTAACAATTATTTAAATGTTTCAGTATACAAAACAGATTTTTCTATATTAAACTTTCTCATAAAGTAAAGTTATATTTTATGCTATATAAAGGAAAATATACCATTTGATGGATATTTTATTTTTTTTGTTTATTTTTTATGAATCACTAACGATAATATATAATAGTATACTAAAAAATAAATTCTAAATAAATAATCCAATATTTTAAAAAAGAAAAACGAATATTTAATATCTAAGAATTTTAATTTCAATTATTAATAATGAAAGAAAAATGGTATTTAATTGTGATTAGTGATGAACAAAGAACAAAACAGAGAGAAGAAAGTCGAATGAAAGTTTTTTTTTCAAACGATAATTTGATATGTCTATTAATGTGTGGAATCGACACGTTTCTCATTAAATAGTTCATAAAAAGACTGAACGTTTTTACTTTTAACATATAACTATCTCAGCTGTTTCATATCATCAACGCCATACTAGTGTTAGACTAAGATTTGACTGAATCGTTCAGTGTCAACATCAATATATGTTTGGTAATGTTATCAGTCTATTTTACATACTATCGTTAATGAAATCTAGCCGCATGCTATCTGTCTACATAGAGAACAAAGCGCTCTATTTTCTCTCTCAACTTTGAAATCATCTTCAATCGATTGTAATAAAAAAAAAAAAAATAATAAGATGAAGGAGAGAGAAGTAACAAAAAAAAAAAATGACGATTTATTTCTTCTTCATCTTTGAAAATATGTTTTTACATTAAGCATGCGTGAATAATATTTGCTAGAGAAATAAAAAAACGAGATGTTTAGTCTTGTGTAAGATATAGTGTTATGTATTCTCTAAAACGTATTATCTAAGAAAGCTTAATAGAGCAGCAAAAAAAAGAAAACGCGCTTTTCTTATACAATGTACGGTAGAGTTTTTTCTTTTTTTCTTTTTTATTGAAACGGATACTAAAAAAGTATTTCCGGAAACGTATAAAGTTCTTATGTATTGTGCATAGAGTATGAGAGAAACTAATTAGTTAATAGAACAATTTTCAAGGACACAAAGATTTTCTTTTTTATAAAAAGACAACAAGGACATATTTTTCAAGAGGTAAACAGACGAGCTCTAGAAGTTGATCATAGATGATTTGATCGTATGTCTTACAAATCTGATTCACACATCTGAAAATAAGGACTAGTATTCTGAATTTGAGAATTCTACTCAAAAAAAGATAGAAAACAGACGCCGAGATATGATACCCATAGGCAAAAATAATAAAATGATGTATTTAGTCTAAGAATACAATTCCCTTAGTTATTAAAGCTACAAAATAACATCTAAAACTACTTTACTTTAAAATTATATTTTTTTTCAAAATATCAGAATACTAATATTTTTCTTAGCATAAAGATTTACAGAATAAAATCGTTTTAAAACACAAGCAATGCCAATTGTTTGAGAATAATAAAAAAACAAAAAGAAAAGAAAAGAAAGTTAAATTTAAAAAATATTAAACTTCCGTATAAAAATGTTATAAATATGACTTTTGTCTTTTCCTCTTAACATGTTTCAACCTTAAAAACTCTATCCTTATTTGGTAATCTTACTTCTTTTTTTTTTTTGTACTACTTAAAAAACAGCTAAGAGTACTTCTAAATAAACTTCGTATATCTCTAACGATGGTCATAATTTTTTATTATTTGTCAATTATATAATGTACACAGAGAGGAAGAATAGTTATTAATATTAATGATTTTAATACAATAGTAAAAATAAAAAACTTTAATGTTCTTACCTTATTTTTCTTTCTTGATATTGATTTAACTAAAATATTCACACCATAATAATTATTTAATATTCACATCAAATTCATTGTCTTTTAATTAACGTAAAGTTTGGCTTTGTTTTGCTATTATTATTATACTCCCCTTCTGCTTATATTTCTTTGTGTGTATGTCTTGTCGTTGTATGATGAATGAAGAAATGATGATAATAATAGTAATAATTGTGATCGACTCTCTTCTTTTTCTTTTTTTTCTCTCTCTCTCTCTCTCTCTCTTTATGCAATTCTCCTTCTCTTTCTCTCTCTCTCTCTCGCTCTCTTTCGCTCTCTTTCTTGTTTTTCGCTCGTTCTTTTTTCGGTCAAGTGCGGCAGAGGCCAAGAAGAAAAAAAAAGAATATTTTAAATGTAGAAAGTACACCTGCTTTAGCTTTAGAGTGGGAGTTATGAAATTAAAAAACTTCTTCTTCTTCCTCTACTATTACTACTACTACTACAACTACTATTATTACTATTACTGTTCCTACTAGTAATGTGTCATTACGGATGAACACACGTACAATGGGTCATGTTCGGAAAAATATTGTAGACTGAACAAAAAGCTATAGAGTATATATATTTTTTTCTGACGACAATCCGTCCATTTCCATATAATTTTTTTTTTTTTTTGTTAGATTATTAGAATATAAAAAAAAAAGATTCTTTTTCACACAGAAGAAAGAATTCTTCTTTTTTTTTCTTCTTTGAATGTTTTATTTGAAGAGAGTCCCATAGAGATAGTAAGAGATGAATGAATATGAATAAATAAGACAGATGGATTTTCAAATTAGTATTAGAAGACAAAATCAAACAAATAAAATATATGCGTGTCTATATACTTACAAATGCATGCTGCATTTTATCAAGAAGAGAGAGAGAAAGAGTATCGTATTTTGAATGAGACAATGAAAAAAAACAAAAAAATTTCAAGTTTTTTGCTGATATAGAAATTCTCATGCCATCATCATCATTATACTGAGTAAAGTTAAAACTTCTATGTAAATATCAAACAAAAAAAAAAAACTCTTAGAATATAGAACTTTATCATTATTCTAAATAATTGACTAACATTAACGTTTCAATCATTGTAAAAAGCTCAATTAAATGATTAAAGAGAACATTGGATCATTAAGATCACTAATTGATGATGTAAATGGCTATTCATTTTTATTTAGTATAAAAAATAAAAAAAAATGAACTGTAAATTGCAATAAATTAGTATCTTCTTCTATTGTCGATTTGAAAACAAACTCGAATACAAAAATAAATAAGTTATCCTTCTTCTAATTTAGAAATTTATCCTTGACAAATATTTCGTTTATTTCTCAATTTCCTTGAAAACTTATGGAACCATTTATAATTGATCTAGAATGATTATTATTTGTTTTTGTTTTTTTTCTTATTTAATAAAAAATCTCGTTAGTGAATAAATATACAGGTCTATATTTAACAGATAGTATATAGCCTAAAAGTTTTGTTGATTCCTTTTTTTTTACTAGTAAAAGAAAAACAAGCAAAACTGTGACAGATTTTTTTCTTTATTATAACCAGCGAGACTATTATCGATTAACGAGTTGAATGAAGCAATTATCATTTTAGGGAAAAAAATATCATTAATAATAGATAGAACATCAACAATAATAATCGATCGTCTTTTCTTTTTTTGCTTCTTCTCCATTTTTCTAGAAAATTCTTTTTCTTTTATACGCTCTATTATCTAAATATTTTAACAATTTTATTAGTTTTGTCATCGAGAAAAAGAGAAGAAAACAATGTCTAATAAAAAAGAAATATAAAAAGAAAAAATAATAATGAGAGAAAATCAAAGTGTACAAAACATAAAATACTATTTAAACATAATTTTCGTTGAGAAAATATTCTACTCTTTAAAAATTTGTAATTGATCTGATGATTTTCCATCCAATATTGTACTTGTTTTTAGATTAATCAATTAAATATGATCTATTGAAAAATTTAGTAGAATCTAGAAAAAATTATTTTTTCGATCTAAAAATCTAGAGATTATTAAAAAATCATTTGTCTAGCAGAAATTATTCAATTATATTAGAGAAAATTTCTCAAAAATTTTATCAATGTATCAGATTTCCTTGAAATATTCAACCATTATCATCGTTCATGTTCGATTATACAATCGTATATCGTTTCTTCTTTTGTTTTTTTATATTCTCTCTTAAGTGTGTGACTTTTGATCTCTGTCTCTCTCTCTCTCTCTCTCTCTCTCTCTCTTTCTCCCGTTAAAGAACAATTTCTTGTTTTTAACGAACAAGAATCAAACATATATATTTTTCCTTCTAATGTTCAATCTACTACTAGTATTACTATTACTACTACTCGTACTTGTATTGAGAAATGATGCGTCAACTGTGAGCATTTGTTGCTATTCTCTATGTTAAAACATCACCATTTATTATGATAAATGTACCGCGAACAAATGAGTAATAAAAGAAAAATGTCCTAAAAATATCAAGTTTATTGAACGAATGATGTATATATATGAAAAAAACAAAAAAATAATAAAACAATTCCTTTATCAAAAGAAAAGAACAAAAAAGAAAAACGAGAAAATACAAAAATATTATTCACACCTAATACATATTTTTCGATAAGTAAACTAATTATCTAGACTAGTAGAAAAAATATTTGTTATTTTTGAATAATAAGACAAATGAGTCTAACTGTGATTTATAATGTAATGAATCATTTTAGATTATAAAAATAACTACGATCTAATTACAGTGATAGTAATAAGAAGATCAAACCTCGATGAAATTTGATGTTCTTTTACTTATTCTTGTCACAGATTGTTGTACCTAATTTCTTTTTCTTTCTTTCTCTCTCTTCCTCTCCCTCTACATTATGTTGTTTTTCAATGAAAATAACTTTTTATCTTTTTATTATTCAACTCATGTTTTTTAATAATAATTTCATGATTTATGTCAATTACAATAGCTAGAACAATAATAGATCGATAAAAACTATGAGTCGGATGCACCATCTGTGTGACGACGGTTAATCTTTTTCTTTTCTTGGAATAACAATGAGAAGAATATTATAAGACAAAAAACTAACATTGATAACATGAATAAAAAGTAAATGTGCTTCCGCTTTGATTACTCTATATTCAAAAAATATCAGAGATATATTTTCTATACGATCAATAAAAATAGACCAGTTTTCTATTTCAATTTCTAGTCATTTGAAGAATAATGCTAAGAAGATTGATACTAATAACCAATATTTTTCAACTATACATTAGTATCGATCTAAAAAACATGTTCCACTTTAAGATATTATCATCTAGAACTAATTATTCTCAACTTTAATCTAATAAAAAGTTTAGTTTAATTCATTTTTGTTTTTTTATTGAAATACACACATATGTTGGAGCTATGCTGTGTGTGTGTGTTTTAATTATCATAGTCTAGGTTAATTAAGTTCATGAGCACGAGATTTTCGCGTTAGATGATCAAATAAAACAGAAAAAAAATAACAAAAAAATTATATAGAACGATATTTACAGTATCTATCATTTCCTAATAATTATTCGATTCTTCTTCTAATACATTGACAAATGTATCATTCTAATTGATTTTTTTTTTTGCTTCTTTATAAACCAGACACATACACACACGCACATACATAGAGTTGATTCTAATGAAGCGACAAATTGATTGAAGGGACAAATATCTATGGCGCAGATAAAATGGAGACATACAAATGATTTTTTTTCACTTCCTCTCTCTTTCGTATCCGTTAATTCTTCAAGGATTTGAATAGTGTTTTTCTATTTATATTTAATAAAACCGAAATATTTGACCATTCAATATTATTGTCACGTTTAAATACAAATATTTATGCAAGTGATCAATACCAGTAGAATGAAAGATGACATATAAAATTTAAAATAATCTGACAGCTTTTAATAAATGGCAGATTATAAACACTAAAGATAGAATACACAAAAAATAAAAAACGACAACATCAGACAGACTAGGAGTGCTTCTGACAAAACAATCGTCTATATATGGACAACAACAGAGACAACTTATTCAAACTTTTCAAATGAAAATAATTCTGCATGCGTGCATGAAAGTGCCAGATGTTACCAAAAAATTTTTTTTTTCTAGAAAAATTCTATTTACATAGGATAATAGATACTCTCTCTTGTCTAAATTTTTTATTTTTTAATTGTAGCATGAGTATAGCACAAATAGTAAACCATATAAAATTTAAAAGTTCACTTTAATTTCGAATAAATTAAATTCTACAACAAGTTAGTTTAGCAAGACGTTTTGTATTCATTACTCTTTTAGAAAATTTTTATTTTACTATTAACTTATTAAAATGGTGCCTGCATGCAAAACATACATGCTCTTATTTTCTTTTTTTTTTTTGTTGTCTCTCTAATTTGATGTAATCCGCCATCGGCTTGAGGTTGATGATGATTATTCTTTTTCTTCTTCTTATTAATATATTACGTTCAATACTAGATGTATATCCATCGGATTACATGTACAACAACAAAGATGAATTGATAGTTTTTTTATGTAACTAAAAAAAAGAGAAAAAGAGAAAAAGAGAGAAATCTATTCTATATCGGTCTATAACAAACATCAAAATATTGAACCATATGACGATTAACGTAAAACGAATGCCTTTAAGCAACTTGTTGTTTTTATTACGAATAGCTCTATTTGTTGTTCTATATGTGTATATGCGTATTTTATTAATCGTTCTTGATTTGTGTATAGATTTGATTAATGGATATACAAACACAAAAAGAAAACTCAAATGAGCCCCCCTCGAACTTTCTATATGAGCAATGGACAAATGACCATGACTAGTATATAATTATTATTTCATTTTATCGACTAAGTTGCAACATGATTCTTCTTTTTTGCTTCTTCTTATATATGTTCAATGTGTCTCATACTGTGATAGTTCACAAATACTGACACATTCGCAAAGATTTTCATTGACACTTGATTGATTAGTTAACTGCCGCTCATCACACATAAGTTCAGTTAGAGTTCTAGTAGAAGAAGAAAAAAAAATGCTGTTAATTTTTTTTTCTCCATTTTTACACAAAACACATGCATTAATTCTCACATTATTATTTTCTTTCTTTTATAAAGATTACGTAATGAAATTTCAACAAAAAAAAAACAAAAAAAAAAACGAAGCTTTTTACAAGCGGATGAGAAATGGAGTTTTAGCATGAACATCTCTTTCAATGATGAATAATTTAATCCTTCCATCATCATCATCATCAACATTTGAACTAAAAAGCACGAAGGAAATGAACGTTTTTTTTCTTCTTCTTCTTTTCCATCACCCGTGGACAATGGTCTAAATACATACAAATATTATTATTATTATTATTATTATTATTATCATCACTCTTTTTTATTTCTCTCTTCTTATGTCAAAAAAAAAAATCCATTATTTTGCCAGTATTGTCATTCTTGAATACAGATCTACAAAGAAGAAACTAAAGATTTTCTTCTTTTTTTTTTTTTTGTATATTTTGATCAAGCAAGATTCACACTGACAATTTCTCATCTTTTTTTTCTTGCTTATTCAAACAAGTTTTATATTTTGATCATGAATTTATGTACATCACTGCTTGACAAAAAAAAAAGAAACCTTCTTTTTCAAGCAAATGAAATACATGAAGTTTCCACATCGCAAGTGGAAAATATTGACTAAACGAGAATTTTAATCTAACAAAAGAAAGAAGAATCTAAAAATAGAGAAGAGATAAAAGAGAAGTAAATGAAATGTTAATGATATTTTTATGAACATTTTCATAAACGAAATTTTGTTGTACCTAATCTAGTAGTCTGATAATAATAATTCTCTAATATCACTCATTGTAAGAAAATATTTCGGAGTAGAGCACAAAACATAAACTATTTTATGCAAAAATTAATTTATTCTATTTATTTGTTCTAAGACAAAATGATGAATTCAAATTGTATGGTTGTCTCTTTTCACTATCAGAAGTGGTTCAGAAGACCTTGGTATCGAGAGGTAGTATCGTTGAAAGAGATTCTCTGTTCCAT